TTGGAGTTCCTGTAAACAACGTATGGGCGTCAAAAAAAAGATCCCGACACTCAAAAGAACAAGCAGAGCTGCCGAGAAGGAGCAGGAGCACAAAGACGTGTCTCCAGCCTGTGACGGCAGCGCACAAACCCTCCTGGGCAGCGCCGCGGGTGTAATTAGTCGGTCCTGCTGTAGCATGGGTGTTTTCTTCCATCTTCCTGCAGGTGTGGTACATCAGAGCATGCATCTTAGATGTTTCATATCCAACAGATGAGCAAGACTGGGTGCATCTCATGCCAAAAAATGGAATAGTGGTGTCTTAGCGTGCAAGAAAAAATACTGATGCTGTTCCCTGCAGTAGCACTGACAGTTCATCCCTTCAGTATGTTTGTTTTCAGGAATCGTTAGCTCTTAATATTTTCTTATAGTCATTGTTGAGCATCTTATAGTCATTGTTCAAGCTAACACTTTTGTTTCCTGTTGTGGACTGAGGGGCTCAAGAGCTTCTAGGTTTTCCTTTCTGCTACTGCTCTTCTCGCCTTAAACTGGTGGGAAGGCAGTCCAACAAACGGAGTGAAAACTCAGTACCTGAGAGAATGGCAAGGGAGAAACTTACACCACCATAAATATTTCCTGTTGTTCTCTTTCTGTTCGGTAGTTTTCTTCTCTGCATGACTCAGTATAAAACTACCATGAAGAAGGGTCTGATCTTCCTAAAGAGTTTTTCTTACAGAAAAAATATTTTATCATTAAATGTTATATGAGGAACATTTGCTTCTTTGAGGGAGAATATTTGTAATGAAAGAAATAGTGCAGCTGATACCATCGGGCACCATCAACTCTCAACTGGTCTACTTGTGCTTTTCTGCCTTGAGCAAAAACATATTTAAAACAGTATGTTTATATCTGGCATATTTTGTAAGCACATTGTTTGTGAGATTTTCTCACATTGTTTGTGAGATTTTCTCACATTGTTTGTGAGATTTTCTCACTTCTGAAAATCCTAAAAGACGATTACTGAACAATTTTTGGAACAGCAAACTTCTCTAAAACGGACTTTCTGTTCTAACAAGGCTTTGTGAATCTGCTCCAATGGGCAATTCTCTTCACTCATCAGTATTCCTAAACTTGACCTGATGATACAGGGAGAGAAGAAAGTGAGATGTTCGTGTTCATTGACATAGATATTGAGGGAGTGGGAGAGTGGTTTGAAGTTTGTTATGTCAACATAGACTGCTCAGTTTAATTTAATTAATACTGAGCCTTGAAAACTTAGAGAAGTTTTTAAGGGGTGTTATCCAGTTCTTGAGATGTCTCCATGGGCTTTCTTGGGTGTAGGAGATGATGTTGGTATCTGAACTGGTAGCTACTCTTCCAATTTCAAAGGAAACACCCAAGTTTGCGGTGTGACTCAGCTTTACAAAAACACTGCTTTAAGCAACGTTAATCCTTGCTGACTGTTCATGTGTTTTGTTTGTCTAATATCCTCATAATGTAGCTATTCCCGTTAAAGAAAGCCAGCATCCTTTGTTCTCCTCTAAGCTATGTAAGACGTGACTGCAGAAGTAGTTTGGGGCCTGAAGCTGCAATGACTCAATGCTGCTGGAATGTAAAATGTCACATCTGGTAAAAGGGGAATAGATCCATAGCTTCTAAAATTCAGACTAGCCCTTTATTTGGGGGGTGGGTAGGTGGTGGTTGGAACTAAAACATCCTTGGAAAGGTGGGAAAGAAGGGAAAAAGCTTGCTTAGCTTTGAAATTCATAATGCTGATTTTTTGGTTGTTTTTTTTTAAAGAAATAATTGAAAATATAATGAGATTTAGATGGCAACGTTTGCCTTTCTGGGTCTGAAAAGAAATTTTTGGATACAGCTGGAAATCATAGCAATTGATACATCTGAGCCAATAAGCATGTTTGAGAGCAGCAGGAGTAGCTGGCTAGTTAATATCCTGCAGCAAATATGTGAAGACTGCTGGTTTTTTAGCCTATAGTGTGTACAGCCATCTCCATTTTGGGTATTCTAGTCCTCATCATTCCTCCTTCTGCTTCTCCTGTGGTTATCCAGCAAAGGAGTTACCTGTGATGAATCAGGTGGTGGTTCCCTCTTCATTGAGATGAAGGGAGCACCAGACTTTGGTCCTTTTCATCGACTCTTTAGTGGTTCTGTTTGCTGAGAAGCAGAGGGCGACCGCAGCCTGCTGGGATTCAGACTTGTGCAAGACTAAGTTTAGACCGTAACTGAAGAGAAAGATATTGATTAGTATAAATTACAAGGAGAATAATTCAGTGTGTTGAACATTAAAGATGTCAGAGCCATAGTTAGCATCATCTCAGTGGCACGCTGACTCCTTACCCCAGCGTTTGCTGGAGCGTGTAGCAGCACAGCTGCCAAGGTCCCTTTTAAAGTCTTGTGTGTTCCAGCAAATACAGGATGAGTGTCTGAATGAGCAATCTTTCTATTGTCTCACTTCCCTGGAAGTTTAAATGGAGAATTAATCCTCTGCTCCATTGTCACCCTCTACCTTCCCATCCGTCTCCTTCCTCTCTTCGCTACAAATAGTCTCCTGAGGTTTAAGTGTGAAGAGAAAGTAAGATTGGCATTTTTAGCTGTTAAATGAGGTTAATCAGCTTGGTGGTGGGTGGGAGAAATGTGCTCTGAGGTTAAGAATGTGAAATTCATGGTAAGCAGGACCCTTATTATCAGTCCAGTGTAAATTTCCCTCTGTTAGACATGCACTTTTTGGTTAAAAATTACCTGATTGTTTTATTGTTCTTATAATAAAGATAAACAGAAATTGTGGGGAGGGTGTGTATGTGTGTAAAAGAAAGTGTCCTTTTCCTCTTCTCTTGAAGACACCGTCTTGAGTTTGACAGAAGGGAATTAGGGCTTCAAATCACTGTTATGAAAAATGTGCTTTAACTGGCACAAAGAGAAGAACTGGAACTAGTGGAATTTCTGCAGGATGAGGAGGGCTGGTCTGAGCAGACTTCGAGATGCATAATTTTGGCAACCACCCAGAATGGCTGAGCTGCCGGGGAGGAATGCTAATCCTTTCTGCTAGCTTTTGGCATAGTCAGTAAAAATATGCAGATAACATTTTCCAAAAATATATTCCTCTTTGCAAAATGTACAGTAGGAGTACAAATAATACAGGAGGCTAACCTGAATGCAGCCACTGTTCCTGATTTCAACAGTTAAAACCTTGAGAAGCAGCATATCAATTTTTGCAATGCCTGCTTGACTTGTATCCATAGATGACAGCCTGCTGGCAGAAAGACCAGAAGGAATGATTAAAGCCATGCAACACTCCGTCTGTACCAGAAGGAGACCATCTTACAGATTGCTGATATAATTGACTGCTTAAAATAATTTCACCTTCTTGACTTTAATATTAAAATCTGAGAAACAAAGTTACTATTTTTATAGAAATGTACATATAATTAGGAGGCAAAAAAAACCCCAAATACAATATGGAAATACGAGCTAAAACATTTGATGACAAATGCAAATTTCAACTTAAATATTTTACTCTGCTTGGCAATAAATCATTGCTGGTAAAAAGATGCATAGCAAGTCTTCCTGCATAAAATCCAACTTCAGCTGTACAGTGGAGAATTCCCACGCTGGTGTGTTGGATATTCCTGCACCACAATAGCAGGAAAGAGCGGATGGAGCCAGCGTGTCATCTTGGCACTGCGCTTGTCGGAGCTGCTGCTGCTGCTGCATTAAGACGTAACCCGTTCAGGTGCCTCTGATGGTGCCTGGAGACAGCAAACTGCAATAGCACCGTGCCTGCCTCCGTCCTTCCCTGCGGCGATGGTCTGCCCTGGATTCCATCTCAGATGGGATTAAATCTGCACGTTGAATGCAGAGATGTATCGAGTAGCACGGCGATTATGTATGCAAACCAAAAATCACTTGCCTCAGTGGGAATATCCCGTAATCCAGCCATCACCAGATTTCTTTGTGGATTTGAAAACAGGATGAAATGATGCATTTTGGCAAATTTAACCTATTAAACCCTTTGATTTAATAGATTTCTGGACCCATGGTTTGCCATTTTCGCTTAAATTATTACAAGTGTTGAAGTGGCAACAGAAATTATTGCGATGGTGCTCAAAGATGATGTTCACAGGATTGTTTTTAATCATGTGGTATCCGGATTTTCTTTTCCAGGGGTGTAATTCCTGTTGTTATAATAAACTGGGCAACTCTTGTATGGCACTGCTGCCCCTCCAAAAAGAGTGGGACACATTTTATTTTCTCTTCCCCCCTCCCCCCCAAACTGAAACCATAACCACATTTATACTCCATGTGTATAAACGTGTATCATCAACATTTTCGAGAATCTTAGCTTTCAAATTGGTGTTGTCAAATACTGGTATTTGCTCTTTAAAGAGTTTCTGTGCTTAAAACCAGGAACTGCCAGATATTTTTTAGATGTAATCCAATAATGAACTCAAACATCATGATGCTTGTAGTACGAGGTTTAATTATACCATTTGTAATTTTAATTCCTTCTACCCATTCAGTGCTGCAGCAGCAGCGAGGGTGTATATCCTGCATTCAGGGATGCTTGCCTGAGTACTCTCCTTGCAATTATAGTGCTGGGAAATGACTGAGGCATGTAGATTATTGAGGATTTTGATGTAGGAGGCACATAAATGTATGAATTGATTGGACCAAGCAGATAAATAGTAAGACTGCTGATTTAGATTAATTTACCTTCAACCAATTCTTTTTGCATTGAAAATTTCCCACCTTATTTGCAACCAAATATTGCACAGGAGAGCAGGAACAGTACTGATCCCAATGAAAGTGAATTTAGCTTTTATTCTCTTACAGTCTTAATGTCACTGGTTTGAGGGTGTACAAGTGTGGGAGACCATCTGCTTTACATTTCAAATAACTGTCATCATCCCACAGCTATCAGAAGACTTGTGATTTTGGGGGGAAAAAATAAAAATCTTTTTTTTCCATAGTTAACACTTTGTCTGCAAATCTTGTCTTTCAGATGGGAAGAGGAGCTGACGAGAAGAATGAGTCTGGAATCTATGGTAGAAACCTTGAGAGAGGTAAGGTTTGAATAGTGTGTGTTGAAAGGTTTTCTCTGTGCCATTTATGATGCTACTCATCATGCTAGTGGAAGGTGTCCCTGCTGCTGGCAGGGGGGTTGGAACTGGATGAGTTTTAAGGTCCCTTCCAACCCAAACCAGTCTGGGATTTGATTTTTTTTTAAATTAAAAAGCTCTCCTCTAGCTGGAGCAGCTGACTGTGTTGCTGGATGCTAGAGAACAGTGTTCATGTTTGGAAGCTGAAGCAGGAAGGTGCTGATGTTTCCGACAAAGTGAAACGCGGGGGTGGTGACATGCCTTATCAGCCCTGGCTGAGTTAAGTGAGGAAGCATATGTTGCCCTACTACCTCTTAATTCTTTGTGTGCTTTCTCTTGCAGGAGGCACAGGAAGCGGAAGCTCTCCAGGAGGAGTTAAATGAAAAGATTGAGAGACTGAAAGCAGAACTTGTGGTCTTTAAGGGTCTGATGAGTGATGTAAGTACACTGGAGAGCGGAGTGGCCAACTCCCACTGCCTTTGTGAAATGTGTGTGTCATGCAAATGGCTTCATTCATAAAAAGGTTATGGTCTTAGTGAGTGCTGCTTTGTAGTTAGCAGTATGGCTGCCTTTATGATCTAATGCATCAGACAGATCACCCTTCCCCCTGCTTCCTGTCTGGTCTGTGTAGAGATGCATTAACTTGCTGCTTAACCCATAACCCGGACTCTTCCCTCCCTTCCCCGTTCTCCGCAGCTGGCAGTGCTAGCATTCAGATCTGCAGCCCTGGCAAATAAAAAAGTGTTGGAGAACTCACAGGTTAGAGTAAAGGATTCATCACCCTGCAGCACCCTGTGCTGCTAACAAGGGGGATTTTGCTCTGAGGCACGCAAGAAAGTCACGTTCAAAAAGGAAGATGCTATAGGTGTTTCCCAACTCCCTTTATGAAAGCTCTGAAGAGATTAACCCAGTATCACTGGTTCAGGTATCTGCCTTTGTTTCCAGTGCTGCTTCAATCTGATTTTCTTTTTTAAAAAGACTTGTTTTCTCAGGAATTTCCTTATGTCTCATTAGATATTTACTTCAAAGCTGGAGGATCTTTTGGGCTATGACTGGATAATTTTCTTACATTTAGAAATACTGTGAGCATGTACCCATGCAGATATCTAGAAAGACAAGCCAGATGAACAGTGAGGTGCCATTCTCTGTAAGACTGCAGTAGTGCTGATGCCAGTTGTCTAATAAATATGTCCTATTATGCTTATTTATTCTGTGATTTTGTGTAGAACTGCTTCTTTCTGTCTTTATACAAGCTTGCAGAACCCGCTCCCTGGTGTCAAATACATTCTCTCAGGCCCACTAGATCTGTTCATGTGAAATTCTGCAATTAGCTGTCTCTTCTTTTAGTGTTTAATCGAGAACAGGCAGAGGTTAGAGGTGATGTGAAAGGGAGACACCTGTTAGGGCTCCATCACTGGGATGACTTTTTAGCTGAGGAAGAAACGTGGCTCTCTGTGTACAAAAAGGGCGGCGGTGAATGCAAACATCCTCCTCCACTTGAGAGCAAGTGTGCTTTGGGCTTGGCAAAGCGTAAGGGAGAAGAGAGCCTAAGGAGAGCAGTGACAATCCTTGTTTTGAATCCCACTGGGTAAATATTTAGAGCAGAGAAATACAAAATGTTGGCCTGTGACGCTTTCCTTCCTGCAGAAAGAATCACTGGTACCTATTCAGTTGATTAGATTGTGTTTAGACTGTGTCAGTGTTTAGAGGTTTCTTTTTCTCAGTCAGTTTGTAAAACAAAAATCTCTTAACTTGTCCAAGGGTGGTTGACAGGGGCTGGAGAAGAACTCTGTCTAATAATTAAAAAACAAAAGAAAACAACACAAAACCACCAACAACCCAAAGCTTTCTTCTTGGAAAGGGGATTTGTTATTTAAAAAAGCTCTGCAAAGAGTTTTTCAGCTTTTCTGGTCAAAGTGGAAGTGTTGCCTAGCCATTGAAGTGGTACTTTCCAACAGAGTAAGTCTCATCTAGGCTGGAAAATATGCTTTTTGTGGAACAATGTTCCTTCATAAGGAGCCAGCTGTACTGTCTGGGAGTATTTCTTATAAATGATGTTTATAATTACTGCCCAGAGTGAAGCAAGACCAAATATTTTTCATGTAGAATTTTTGCTAGGCTGGAAGCCAGGTTAATGCTAATGGGGAGTATTTTCTGTGTCACAACCTTTCATGGATCTCGTTAGATCCAGTCTTGATTTGATGTTTTCATGGTATGTATGAACTTGCTGAGTAGCCTGGATTCTGTTTTAAAAGCAACTTCCTCCTTGCAGGCACAATTTTTCTGTCTGCAAGTGGGGGAAGTCGTGCATACTCACCAGGTTTTAGATTTCATTCTGTTCCTCACATGCTCAACAGGGTTTTTCTCCGTCATTTTTAAAGCTTTATTGACCCCTAAATGTTTACTGTTGCCACACCTAGCAGTTGTTTTGGGGTGGGTACAGGTTTTTCGGTGGCAAATCACTGTGAATTGAAATTTAATTAGAATCAGCTATGAATGTTAATTGTTAGCTATCTAGTCTATTTAGATTGTCCATGTACTGCCTTTTCCAGAGAACAAGATGTAATATTGTTTAAGAATGGTATGCCCTGGGGTTAGAGAGATACTGTGGGGTATCTCTTCTTTCCTGAACTGTATAATAATAGAAGATAATCACTACTGTCCTTCCTGCAGCCCATGACAGACCTGGACACAAAGATTCAAGAAAAGGCCATGAAGGTGGACATGGACATCTGTCGGCGAATCGATATCACAGCCAAGCTGTGTGATGTAGCGCAGCAGCGCAACTCTGAAGACGTTTCCAAGATATTCCAGGTGATTAGGCCATGAATTTTCCGTAGGGTAGGACAAGAAGTGAGGGGAGAAGAGGGAGCAGTGTTGAGGAGTGTGGTCCAGGTCATTTGCCTTTTCTTGAAATTTCTCTATGTAGACGTATTTTCTTCTTTCTCTGTCTGTAGTGTAGCTCCCTTCTGCAGAAGCTGCTGTAGTGCTAAGAGCACAAAACTTGGAGAGTTTAAAAAGAGAAGTCTCAGGGTGACCTTTAAGACATGATGCTAATCTACAATGAATGCAGGGGAAAAAAAAGCATTACAGGGTTTAGGTTTGTATAAATGCCTTCCTCACATTTGTTCCCTTCACAAGTGAGAGGTTTTAAGCTCGTAGAACTGTCATCTGAATGTTCTTATTTCTGCCTCAAGCTCCGTGGCCAGAAATAACGCTTCTGTGGTGGTGAGCTATGACTGCTTTGTGAGACTAGAAGCTCCAGTTGCTTTCCTTGAGCTATTGTGGCTCCTTGGTGCTTGTAGGAAAGTCATTTAATTTGCTCCAAAGGCAAAGTAGTTCCAGCTCTGCGTGGAGCAAACCTGTAACTCCCCATGCAGTTGGTCTTCTGTCATAACTGCAATTTCAATTGCGATTAACCCAACTTCCTCCTACTTTGATCTAAATGTGTCTTGCTCAGTCTTTCAGTGAGTCTGATGCTTTTCTCTGTGTAGTGATGCTATATAGTGTGCTAAATGCTGGACAAAAAAACCTGTAGAAGGTCCTTGTGGTCTCTACTGGTTCTGCTTTCTGGCTATAGTGAAGTTACCTGAATTTTTGATGGGTTTTTTTTTTCCTTAGGCATCCTGAAAGATTCCAATCTCCTTACTGGAGACAATAATTTTTCTGGTGTGTTGAGCCATAGCATTGTACTAGTGATTCCTTCTTGTCTTTGAGTAGAATTGCTGTGTCTTTCTGCTCAAAGGTAACTGCAAAGCACACTTTTGGTCAAGCATGCAGTGGTTAAAATGATCAGTGTGGAGAACAATACCGATGAGGGATGGTTTATATGCCAAGTAGAGGAAAAATGGCAGGAGGCTGGGGACAGACTGTCTGTCTGACGCCATCAGTGAATATCTCTTATGCTCACAGTCCTCAGATGAAGAAGCCATCCTCTGCATCCTCTGCAGGGGTATCCCTTGAGTTCTCTGCACATCTGTGAACTTCATTTCTTTGAGGTTGTCCAGGCAGTTTTCATGGTTCAGTTAACCCTTCTTCTGTCAACCTGCAGACTAGCAGGGATGGGGATGACCCTGAAACAAAGGCTCTCTAGACAGGCTTCCCTTCTACTCTTTCATGGTGGTTCAACACTGGGAGCAACAGCCTGTGGTGGTGGCAGGAGAGGGAGAGTTCTGTCACTGCTCTCAAGCCTGTTGCCTGGGCACTCCTGCCAGCTTACGCTTTTACCCTGTATCATTCTAACCTCTGCATGTTCTCTGGTAGATCATAGATGGGTGTCAGTGAACAGATGAACATCTGTAGAGTGCTGGCAGCCTGCAGCTTGCTTTGCTCTTCGCTGTTCTGAACTGCTTCCTTGTGCTCTGTGTTCACCACTCATTAACAGATACAACTCCTGTCTTGAATACAAGTGATCCCTGAATTGCCTGGGACCTGATGAACAGTTATATTTGCTCAAACCTAATGGCTTTCCTTCTTTATTTCCGTCCTCGTGGCACAGCACTTCAGTTGAACCTTCTAGTTACTGCTCTTCTCTCCAATTAAGGTGGCTTCCAAGAAGAAAGAACGCAAGCTTGCATCTGACGACGACCTCTCTGAACAGGATGGAGACAATGGCAGGTTCTCTGATGATGAGGTCAGCTGTTCGCTGAACATCACAGATGAAATGAAGCGTATGTTTAATCAGCTGTGAGTATTGTGAACAACGTGGGGAAGACTTCTTCCAAAATGCAGATTTAATCCCAGAACTCAAGTATTGAGTTATTTCTATATGCTTTTGGAAGTATTATTTTTTTCAACCCAGTGAACCTTGAGCTGCCAGGGTGGTACATACTTGAAGATTTTCTAACAGAAACTGGTTTTAGTTCCTCCCTTAAGCAGAGAGGACCACAGAGAATATAAAAATATAGTAGTAAAACTAGATGTTTATATGCTGCTGTAACAGCAGCAAAAGAAGAGACATGGGGGGGAAAAAAAAAGTACAAAATTTGAGTCTGTTCTGTATGTTTTGCTGAATATTAGATTTCTAGAGTTTTGGAAAGAACCTTGCTGCTGCTTAGGCTGGATAGAATTTGGCAACGTCACTGAAAGCTCAGTTCAAAATGGATACAAACTTCTGTGGTATTTTGGATGATTTTTCAGTTGAGCTATAGGCAAATGGTAGTGGTGGATCTGTCCAGAAGATCAGTTGTAGCAGTGGAGGAAAGTTTATAGATTCCAAGAACGTTGGTGTTTTTAATCCTTTCTGCAAGACCTGTTCTCCCGAACTGGGAGAATTGCAATTGATTTTGCCTAAAGCTTTACCCCAGATTGGAGCATTAGGAAGCTGAGAAGAGATCTGCACCTTGGTGCTACACAAAGCAGTTCAGGAAGCTGGTTGGTGATGTGCCCTGCTGTTCTCTTCCTCCTGTTCTAGAAATGCTGGAGGTATCCACAGCCTGGTGAGACTTTTGAGGGGCTCTGCTGTTTTCTTTTGCTAGAGAAGAGCCCCAGCAAGCACCCTAGGTCTGAAATTCCTAGTGTTTGAATATGGGTGTCTTCTGCCAACTTCTGCAGTGACCGCAGAGGGAAGAATTCCCAGTGCTTTCCCACACAACGTGGGACAGTATTTAATCTGTAGGAGTACACAAGAAATTCTCTAAGGAGCACTAGCTCCTCTTCTGTTGTCAGCTGTGGCCCAAAGTTCTGTTTTCAGGGTGTGTGTGTCTTTCCTTCTGAATTTCACATATAGGAGGGCACATTTTTTGCAGAAGCTGTAGGTAACTCCTCTTGTTAGGACTCTTGTTCTAGATGTTTTTAGGTCCTTATTAATATGTAGTGTAATAAATACAGATTTTTGACTTCACTGCTAGAATCCAGAGTAACAGCAAGATAGCACGTGGATTTTTTACAAAAGCAAGATGCTAAAATTCATCTACTGGGTTGGTAATGCATTTAGTTTTTAGCTTTGTCCTTAAACCTGTCCTGTGATATCCAGTTTCTGTTGGTGCTGCTAATGAAATTCTTATCTCCTAGTCCCATCTTATTTGGTACATAGTGCTGCAGGAATCTTGTTATGTGCAGATGTGGTTGATGTTGAACAGTTTGTGGCTTATTGAAGGCTAAGGAGGTTTGGGGGCTTTGTGAGGTAGAAAAGAATATTTTATAACTTGCTGAATAGCTTATCTCATTAACAGAAACTGAAAACAACCTGCATTTTATCTGTAATGAAGTTAATCTTTAAGTGTCTAGTGGTAAAAAGTCAAAATGCAGTCAGCTTTGAACAGCAGGTGTGTCTGAAGTCAGCAGCAGTCAGGACTGGGAGCCTTTGTGCTTTCTGTCAAGGTTAGCTCTTGCAAAAAGAAACTGATTTGAAGAAGCTGACTTGCAAAAGGCACAATCCTGTATGTCCAAGTTTATTGGGGTTTTTTAAAAATTATTTTTTAAAGTCATGCTGAGTATAGACAAATAGCCTGTCTCTTTTTGCCAAGCTCTTCAGCCCCCTAAAGACAGTATTGGACTCAGCTTCCGGACTGAGATGTTATCTGCTTAAAAGGAAGTGAACTAAAGTAACAAAAATGCATCAATCTGAAGTTAGCAGACTACTTCTGGGAGCAATCTCAGCTTTTGGACAGGCCTCCTTAACAAGGACAAGAAGCAGCTACTGGTGTTTTGCTCTGCTGCTGTTCAAACCAAAAGGGACTCGAGTGCCTTCTGAAACTTTCCTTTATTGCACAACTGACCGTACTAAAGGAGCGTGGCCAAATAACGGTGTTAAAGGCCACTCTTGCCACTGTTTGTTCTCAGTCTTAAGTGGCTGTAGTACTATCTTTATTGTTCAAGTCAACAATAAGCATTGATGCTCACCTGCACTCATTTTGGGGTTCAGTTATTTTCATAGCTGTTACTTTCGACAATAATATTTTCCAAGTGCTGCAGGGAAAACACTGGCTGAACTTCAACATGAAAATCAGCAGGGAGTCTTCTAGTGGCTGATTCTTGTAAAATTCCTCAAACTGTGTTTGGACTCATTTTCCCATCTATAAAGAATAGTTTTAAAACATTTTTGTGGTTTTGGAAACAAGGGAAACTAATGTGCAGCACCATCTGGAGGCCAGAGCTAGGACTGTGCGCTTGGACCAGCAATGCTAACAAGGATCTTTTATTCTGCTTTGGGGTGGCAAAGAGCCCAGGAGTGAAGGACTTGGACAGTGGTAAAACCTGCTTGTAAAAACTGTGAGGCTTTTCAGCTGCTGCATTGTCTCCGTCAGTCAGTTCTCACAGTCCCTTTTTTCCAGAAGATGAATTGAAGGACTGAGGGAGTGGGGCTGGAGTAGTTTTTACTAATGCCTTTTCTGTTATCTTAACAGTCGTGAGACATTTGATTTTGATGATGACTGCGATAGTTTAACATGGGAGGAGAATGAGGAAACATTGCTTCTTTGGGAAGATTTCACAAACTGCAATCCTTCAATTGACCTCCAAGGAGAAGTGAGTTTATTTTATTATTTTTTTCCAACTCTTCTCTGCAGAAACTGTATCCCTCAGCTGCTCTTTTAGCTGTCTGAGCCTTTGGATATTTGACTGGTGATCTACTTTGCCACGCAAACTTGCTTTGATTTTAAAATCCTCTTAGTGCTTTCTCTCTATGGCTGCTTTTCAGTCTGTGCAATCAGTTTATTTGGCAAACTTCATCTCTTCTGCTCCTTCAAACTGAGTATTTAAAAGTACCAAGTGAGTGTCAAAAGATCTAATGTGGATAGCTGTTACAGGAGCATCATGCAGTCTGTCACCCTAACCAGTCATTTAGCTAAAGCCCTGTGTCTTCCACACAGCATCTCACTTTCTCTTCAGATTATCATTCACACTTTAATTGTTAAAATCATAGAATGAATCACAGAATGGTTTAGGTTGGAAGGGACCTTAAAGATCATCTAGTTCCAACCAAAATAGTACACAGTATTGCACACTTACTCTAGCTGGGAGAAAAATTAACTGATTATGGTCTGTGGAAGATGTTAAAGTAAATCCAGTCCATCACAAACAAAGAAGCTGTGGCTGCAGGACTGTATGAGGCCCCAGGGATCTTCTCAACCCATGAATCTTGTGCTTCTATCTTCCCAGTCAATAGGAATCTCCTGGTGTTGGTGGATAATAAACAGCTTGCTTTTAATCCTTAAGATCCCATGCAAAGTAAGCTAATGGCTGCATGCTGCCTCATTCAGTGACTCCTGAGCCTTTTTAAACAAGCCTAAAGAGAGATTGAAATGGCAAGGTTGGGCTTTGTGTGGGCAGTCTTAAATGTGGTGCTATTATTTCATTCCTGAGTAGCGTGACAGCAGGAGGTAAGAAATAATCCTGCCTTCTTCCACCATCGCTGTAGTGTAAAGATGCTGAGGCAGCAGTCTCCTGAATATTGTCTTGTGGTGACTGCCAGGGGTGTGTTAATTTCCATCTTCCCATTTGTGTATCATCTGGTGTACTCGGAAACTGCGGAGATTACCTAGAAGTGCTAGGGCTGCAGAAAGCAGCGTACTTAGCTACATGTCTCCTTTTGAGCAGGGAGAGTGGCAGAGTGATAACGTGCAGCCATGTGCTGGAATTAGTGACAGATTTATTTGCATATGCCCGTGTGTGCGTGTATAAGCCCAGCTATCAGAGGAATATTGCCGAACTCAGACCCTTCCGTGCGAAAACTCTGAAGGTTTTAAGAAGCTTAAATCCTTCTAAATGAAAATTATACAAGGAAAGGGTAGATTTGTCTTGTAGATGGAGATTGAGAATAAAGACTGCTCCGTCTGTGCCTGGTCTTTAACATAGTGCTTTACATGCCTGAATCTTCCTTCCTCTGGCTTTATTCCTTTCAAGTTCTTAAGCGGTGTCCTAGCCACCTTCTTTTGTGACCTTCCTCCTTAAAACGCTGCTGCCTATGAAAGGATAAGTGGAATGATTCCTGTAACTACAGGCTGGATAGCCTGATGCTGATACCAGCTATGATCCTGATAAAGCTGCCACTGACGTCACCAAAGGATGGCAATATAATTAACACTCATCAGTGTGGTTGCATTAAATTGTTTGGGTTTTTTTTTCTGGAAAAGGGAGGTAGGCAATAACATGAGAGAGAGAACAATGCCATTGTTTTAGTCTCTGTGACAGCATTAAATAGTGCTGTGTGTGTTGTAGCCCAGACTGTACTGTCAATCCAAAGCAATGATGGTACAGGAGCTGTTGTCTGGCAGGATGTTTCCTTTGGGACAGTGTGTGTTCTTAATGTGTGATACTTTGATTGGAAGTGTGCTGGAGTGAGCTTGCTTTATCAGTGAAGTGAAGAATTTCAAGAGGAAAAAATGTGTGCAGAGCATACATGGAGAAAGAAAGGACTGGAGAGTAAGAACGTGTCACTGGAAAATGAGAATTCCAGTGCAGAGTTGTGAGTAGTGGTGTGCTCAATGCAAGGAAAAATCGAGTCTAATGGCTGGAGAGCAATTACAATCTCAGTGTGATCAGACTGTGAAAGGTTTAGGAAAATCCATGGCTTTGGTTCTCTAGCTTGCAGCAGGTATCTGTGTTTATTTACTGGAGCTTTGGTCTGTAGGTTCCTTGATCAGAGACTTTACCTTGTGTGTACAAAGCCGCTGTCACACTACAAACATGTGTTTCTTGGTGTGCCAGTTGTAAGAAGCAATTACTTGTCTGTGTAAAAAATATTTTTAAAAAATCTTTGCATGAAAGAACATAACTTGCATTTCTGAATGAGGTTAAATAAGAAAATCTTTGGTTTGCTACTGAATTCCTTCTTAATTTCTTGCTAATTCTTTGTGTCCTCCTTTCCCTTGCAGGAAGAAAACCTGGGAAACTTGATCCATGAAACAGAGTCTTTCTTTAAAACGAGAGACAAGGAATACCAAGAAACAATAGGGCAGATAGAAGTAAGGAAGTTGTTAATGACAATATGAATATTTTTCTTTTTCCCCTATTTGTCTTGCATATCCACTGTCACACTGGGAAATGCTTTACCAGACGTGGCCTCAAAGGTTGCCAGACACAACAGCTGTAGCTTCTCAAAGTCTTTGCCCTGCATAGAATACACTTTCATTAATTACTGTGTGTTGACAAACAAGATACCAACCAGCAGAAAAAAACACTTGAGGGTTGTTTAAAACCAATGTTGAGCTCTGATTAAAATACACTTCATAAGCTGATGAATAAGTAAGTTGGCAGTATGCAACACTGAGGTTGAACATATGTTGTGTGGGTGTTTTGGATTGGCTCTGGGCAGCTTTAGCATCCCCACCAGTGTGTAAAATCGAGTGAAGCTGGGAGAAGCTGCTAGCAACTCACCTTAGGCTGATTATTTTTCTCTTATTTCTTACAGCTGGAATTGGCCACGGCCAAGAGTGACATGAATCGCCACCTTCATGAATACATGGAAATGTGCAGTATGAAAAGGGGCCTGGATGTGCAAATGGAAACCTGTCGTAGGCTTATCAAAGGCTCAGCTGACAGGTAATATAAGATGTGACCGTTCTGCCTGGGGTGCTTCAAGAATTTATTTTGCTCTTGTTTCCTGCCAGCTTGTTTTAAAGGCAATAATATCATTTTGTCCTAAAGCTTTGTCCTTTAGATAATCTTGTTTTGTTCAGGGTCGTATATCAGTCTTAAAAGGAACCCTGTAACATTGTGTGGATTCCTATACATTGTTAAGGATTCAACACATGATGGTAAAAACAGGGATGTCACCAGTAGGACTGGCAGTATAAATGGAATTAGTGCTTTTCTAACTTAGTCTTGGGTCACAGACCTAGAACTCTTAAAACAAACCAACCCACAAATTAAATCTTGACTATAGGCTTGTATGAAGAACTTGGTTTTTAGTCTTCTTATGAGTTAAGAACCCATTTATATACTGTGAGGGATTTCTCTTGTCTCTTGCTTACCCCCAGTACACATCCTGTCTTACAAGAACAAAACAGAAACTTTTCTTGAGTTTTTGAGACTGTAGGTATTGTTGATGATGGGAGTCTCTTTAGGATGTTCATTGACTTACTTTCCATTTCCCCACCTGTAAACCTGGGACAGCCTTTATGTTTGTGTAAGAGCTGGCAGGGGTGGGGTGGCAGCACGTGGGATGACTGAGTGCACTACTGATATTAACTGTAAAACTAAAGTTTAATCAAGGATATTTTAAATTATTTTGGGAGGTGAAAGTGACCATTTTCTTTAAAAGTTCCTTTTTCTTTTTTTTTTCCTTCTGTCATCGATATTTAATTTTTTGTCTAAACCTTTCTCTGAATTTTCCTACAGGAATTCTCCATCCCCCAGCTCTGTAGCCAGCAGCGACTCAGGAAACACAGATGATATTCAGGATGAGTTGGACAGAGAGACGGATGTGGAGCCCATGGTCAGCTGATACGTAGTTGGAGCATTCCAGTGAAAGGGAAGATACAAGAAAAGATTAAAAAAACAATACACTGATGAGGGAAAAGACTTGTAAGCCCTTGCACAGGGTTTCTAAGGACTCATTCCTACACGCATCCCCACCCCACCCAAGGATTGGTGCTGTAAATTTCTATTGTTATACAAATCATAAATGCAGAGTCCTGTAAGAAAATACGGTGTTTTAATTGTGCCTTTGCCCCAAGCTGAGCCACTTTGAGCTCCAGTGGAATATTAATAGCAGGTGTTTTTATAAAAAAAAAAAAAAATATTAAAAAAAAAAATAAATATCTGGTAGCAGCAGAGAATGGTGCTGCAAAGGCTCTGGGTATTTCAATAAGCTTATGGTTTTATTGAACTGATTGGCAAAAGGAACACTGGCAAAACGAGAAGCGAAGCCAATACAATTATGGTACAATTACCAATGTCTGGCACAAAAAAAGAATGCCTCCAAATTGAACTGTAAACATTTAAAAATAATAGCGGGTTTAGAGACAGCTTTTAGGATTAAGCACTTATACAATATTAAAAGGAATTCTTCATTCCATCTTTCTGAGTGAAGGAGCCTTTGAGATTTGTATAAGCTTTTCTGCTAGACTCCAGAATCTGAAGAAGCAGGTCTCAGCTCGGTGGCAAAGCAGGTGGACAAAGGAGGGTTCAGTGGGGTGGGACTATCACTGATAAACTACTATGCAAAAAAAAAACAGAAAAAAAAAGAAAAAAAAAAAAAAAAGCTCGCCTTATTTATAGGGAATGTTTGGTCCCTGCTGGGCTCCAGTTATCTCTTGGGGAAAGGAAAGCTAAAAACACATTTGCACATGTTAGTTATCTGTAGAGCTTCATTTGAGGAGGAATGTCTTATTACAATGCCTTTGTTTCCTCTGATTGGATTAAGAGGGGAATCAGCCCTTCAGTTCCCATGTTGGTTTCTGTTTTATTTTTTCAGGATTTTATTTTTTTTTTTAAACCATAGTGTTTGCAGATTTTTACTTTGCTGACAGGGAGGTAACTCCATTTTATGCTGCTTTCACGATGTTTAGAGTGGGGTAGTTGAAGCATCAGGATAAACTGACATGTGGTGTTGTAGATGTAGGTTTGAGACGTGACATTGGGAGAGTTCCAGACCACTGTTCTTCAGAAAAGCTGAACATTGGAAAATACTGTAATCCTTTTTAGGGTGTAGTAAAATGAATCCCAAACTACTGCTGCCCTAGAATGAGGGAAGAACAGCCATGTGCTTTCTCTGTGAGAAAATGAGAAGACCTAGGCTTTGTCAATCTTTCTGTATTTTTACACAGGAGAAAGCAGCATCAAGAGTCAGATCACTTGGTGGTATTTTGAGGAAACTCTGGCATCATCAAGCTGTTCACGGTTATTAGTGGGAATTGTAGCACCTCAGCCAGGTAAAACAGGGTATAAAAAACCTCAGCCAATAACTTCTTGTTTATTTTTTTAGACCAAGATTGAAAGTGTAGTTAATACTGCCTAAAGGTAACTGTGTATTAAAGAGCAGTTGCAAGACTTGGAGTAAATACCAAATGTATCTTCTTTTCCTGCCAGGAAGCTTAGGAACTGCTTTGTAGGAGCAGTGCTAGGACTGGACAGGGAAATAAATACCCGATTTAAGCACCCTCTCAGTGTTATGTAAAGGTAAGCTGGCCAATCTTTTTTTTAGCTTCCTGAGTATTGTTTCCAAGCCTCTCTTATGTATTGATCTAAAATCAGCGGCGTTGCATTGTAAGCATACAGCCAGTATAGATCAGTGTTGGTTTCTTCCAAAAAGAGCACAGAAATATGAACAGAAATGCTTCTCTGTCTGCAGCTCTGCAGAAGAGCAGGACCTCGGAGGTTCTCTGCTGGCACTGGCACTGTGGGTGCAGTAATGTCTTCTCAGTTTGAGTTTCCTGTGTTGCTGCCTGGAGTTTCATCGCTGTTCAGATCTCCTGCTTGGACACGATGGTGCTTTCAGGCCACGTGAATCGGGTGGGTTCCCTGTGTTTTTCAGAGTGGGGAGGAATACTGGGATGATCCATCTGGATCCACAGTGTGGAGGCCACGATCCACACTTGATGGCTTCCATCCAAAAAAAAATAGACCCGAGGATATTCTTGTGGTTTCCTTACTGATGGAAATACTCAGTGCAGTTATTCTTAGAGTAGCTAGCAACTTCTTGGTTCTTGTGGTGTGGGTTAGGGGCTTTTTCAAAGCCTGTTCCATCATGTAAGTGTAGATAACTTTTCTCTGGAAAAGAAACCTTATTCCAAAGTGCTCATTCCTGTTATTTCTTAGGTGGCCAGAGTGGCAAAAGTCATGTTCACTAGGGCTGCAAGTTGGGGTGGGTGGGTGGGGGTAAGAGATGTGATATTTTTTTTTGAGGGGGCTGGGACTGCATGTTTTCAATCAAGTTACTCTTAAGGGTTTTCAAGCCTGTATGAACTTGAGCTGCTAATCCGTAGTTTCTCACGAGGCTGAGAAACCATCTGCCAAAGCGGAATGTCTGCAATGCTTTAGTGACTTTGGTGGAGGCATTGTTGAGCAATCTCCTTGCACAGTGAATCAGCCTGGGTCAGAGGCTGTGGTTCAGCTCTCCTCAACTAGGAAATGCTCTTTGGTACTGGAGAAACTGAGCAATTTCAACGGCCCGTCCGGCTTAGCTGCTGTGTTTTGGGTTGGTTTTGGGGTTTTTTTTATTTAAAACTCAGTGTCCTAGCAGGAAAAAGCTGAGTGTTCTTGAAACTTAGTAGCTGGTATGTTGAGGGTAGGAAAGAATATCCTCAGTTTGACAGTGAGAGCCAAGCGAGGAAGCAGAAATGTAGCTGTCGAAACCAGCTACGCTGTCACCTGCAGTTTATCTCATAGCCATAATTCCAGGGAGCATCTGTAATAGGGTCATGTTTGCTGGGAAGTGTTACGGGTGGTGGGTCTGTAGTAGAGGGTTTAGAAATAACGTGTACCATGGTGATGTGTACGACGGTAAATTACCGTGCTTGTTGGTGTCTGTTTCTTATAACCATATGTAATCCCTTTTTAAAGAAGAAAAAAAAGGTGTTTTCATACTTGGGATTGGGGTTTTATTTTTATTTAGGCTGTATAGGACTCGGTGGATCAGCCTTTTGGGAGTTAGGAGGTTTGGTCCTTGATAGTTTCCCTAGGAGGTCTTTGGTTTAGTTCCAAGCGATGCTGCTGATTTAGCTGACAGTGGTCCTGTTGTTTAACCACTCTGTAGAAACCAGATCAAAAGCTTGCCAGAAAAAAAACCAATTGTGAAAATGCTGGAAATGATTTTGATGACCTCTTTCTTTTTCCTTTGTAAAGCTGTAAATACTTTATTTTTGTTTTCTATTCTTACTGCGGTGTCATATTGACACTTTTTTAGACTTACAATCAGAAAATCCTCTTCATTGTTTCTCATTTTTTAAAAGGGGATTTCAAGGAAGCAAATTTTTTTGCTTGTTAGCTGTGTAATAATAGATCAAATTCCTAAAATGGGTTTGTACAAAAAAATGTTTTCAGTAAACAAATGGCAGTTGCTTTTTTGCATGCTCAAAAATGTCCAAAGAATAATGTGGTACAAATGTTTTTTCAAAGACTTAGTAAACTATTGTATTAGTTCACATAACAAAAAACAAAATTCTTTAAAAAAAAGTGTCTGGGGGAAGATAATGAAACTCATCTAAATTATGTGTGTAATCTATTTATAAAAACCACAGTATATATTCTATTTTTATTAGAGGTTTTTAAAGTGCAAACAGAATTCTGTTAGCAAATGCAATTTTTCCCTTGTATAAAGTATCTTCTGCTCTGATGTGACTCCAAATCCTCAAACAATTTCAAGTGACAACGTGGAAACACTGTACCAGGTACGGCTGTGAAGCACTCGCCCATCGCTCTCTCGGATCAAGAGGGAAAGCAAAACAGATGAACAGCTTTTCTGCAGCTGCAGAATTAGTGCTGTTTCCCCTGGTTTTGTGGGGTTTTTCTTCCTCTGAGTGTGAGGCATTCTGCTGGAGAGGGTAAGGATCTCCATTTGCCCCTCTTAAACACCGGGGGTGATTGCAGCACAGTAGCTTTCAAACCTGCCCCACAGTGGGTTTTGTCTCCTACCTGGTTGGGAAATAAATTGTGTTTGTTTACACTGGTATAAATTGGAATTAACTTGATGAAACAAAATAATATCTCAGAATCGTGCCTGAATATAGATCTAAAGCTACTTCTCATATGAGATGATTATTATTTTTTTTGAATGCATAACCATTCCTGCCAGCAAAAATCCACGTTGGGTCACCGGCCCAAGGCTGGCTGAGGAAAAGCCCCTGCGATGGGTGGGTGCTCACAGCCTTGCCGCAGCGCTGCGGTCCCCGTAAAGCAGCTATTTCCTTCTGTGTCCCTTGGCTCTGGAAAAATGTGGAAGAATGTTTGTGTTGGAGCGTCGAGGAAGAGAATTGCAATACTGAGAAGTCTCTGACTGTGTTTCATGTTTGAGAGTGCTTCATTTTAGAGCTGAATGTTTAAAGCATGATTTATTACAGTAGAATTAAGAAGTGGTAGTGCTTCCATGGAGTAATAATACCCCCATGAGGGTTTTCCACACGTTGCTTCAGGACTTCTGGTTCTTTATTTATTTTGCACTGGTCCAGGACTTGGTTGCAGGGGAACACGCAGGTTTAAAAAATCTTTGCCTTGAGTGTTACGTCACCCAAATGCTTGATTTTTAAACTTTTAGTAGATTGTAACTTCTATCAGTTTGAGTTTTAAATAAGAACTTGCCAATCAAGGCAACACAAAGTGTCCTGGAGTTACTAATGCTGGTTTTAGAGGTGAACCAGAAACACTACCTGCTAAATTTTTAATTCCATCCCTTGCCAACCCGTTTTTGGGGAGGGGAGCACTGAAAGCTTGAACACAAGTCTTTGGCAGAGTAGTGAAGAAACACTTGATTATTTCTTTTTGTCTGTTTTTTTTTTGTGTGCAGTT